GCAGCCACGATTTTGTCACGGGCACCTGTGAGCCAAAGACTGGGCCTTTGTGGCAGGAATAATAAGCAATACTACACAACTTGCTACTTTCAGAAAACTTTCTTTTTAGCTTCACCAATAACCACAGAGGAAGAAGGGAACTGGGATTTGGGTAAGTTCTCTTCCACTGTTTGACCAAATTCTCAGTGATAAATACTGGGTGCAAATCACTAGGAGAAAAAAGTTGACTTTTCTTTTGTAGTGTGGCACATGGGCTCTGCCAGATTTCACGTAGACCAACGAAGGATCTTGTGTATTTTTGTCCATTTCCAATGTTATATGAACTGATTGTATTGTTTTATACTGTGACCACAACTATTATGCAATGCACCATTTGTTTTTTTTTTATTTCATTAAAGGAAGTTTAATTTAAATTGAAGTTGTGTGAGGAACGTGATGTTGGCCTCTGCTGTCCTTCTATCTCTTCTGCGGGAGGGATTGCAGCTGAATTCCGGTTGCAACTCGAGCACCTTCTGAGCTCTGAACCCTAAGACAGCAGCGCAGAGTTTCTCTACAGATAAGACAAGAGCCCGGCCGGTGGGTCAGCGGTTGAGCGCCGACCCAGGAACCAAGAGGTCGCCAGTTCAGTTCCTGGTCAGGGCACATGCCCAGGTTGAGGGCTCGATCCCCAGTAGGGAGTGTGTGGGAGGCAGCCAATCGATGGTGTTCCTCTCTCATTGGTGTTTCTCTCTATCCTTCTCCCTTCCTCTCTCTAAAAACATCTACAAAAACATTTTTTAAAAATAAATAAAGATAAAAGAAGAAATGGATTTCATAGGATCAATATTGAAATTCCCACTGAGCGGCAAGGTGAGGGCCAGGCCTGGTGCAAGGTCTTTTTGGTTGCTGGTTGAATTCTCATGACCTGATAGGTCTCCTAACGGGAAAGAGAAGTCACTGTTGTTCCTCTCTGCGGATCAGGAAACCAACACCAAAGTCCTGTGACCATATCGTGACTGGAGCAGAGTGGCTTTTCTGACTCATGACGCAGTCTGGAACCCAACCAGTCCAGGTGCTGGCCCCTGTAATACAAAAACAGTGCGATCCCCCCGGCTGCTGGCTTCTGGGATCTGGACAGGGGGGAGTGCGGGAGCCCCGACTTCCTGCTGGGCCTTGGAGCAGCCGCAGCCTTGGCTGGCCTCCCCATAGACTTTCCTGTGGGCCTCATGTGTGCTCTGGGTGGGAACCAGCTCATGTTTTGAGGTCTGTGTCCTCGTTACGCACCTTGCCCAGGAATCGGCTCCGTTCTAGGCCTGGGGAAGGTACTGGCAGTTTATAAATGCAGTTAACGCCCTGGAAAGAGCCCAGCAGTGACCTGGGCCCATTCAAGGCCTCAGTTTCTCTCCTGTTGAGGGAGTTGACGGATCATTTGATCCCTTCCTGTGGCGTCACTGCTTGGTATTCCATACATGTAGACAAGAGGCTCAGCCCATACCTTTGGCAAGTTCCACGCCTGGATATAGCCATGACTCTGACCTGAATTGTAAGCTCAAGTAGGGAAAGGAGCAAAATCATGACCAGCTACCTGCGGACACACATTCTGCCTTCTCTGAAAGTCATGAATGGCAAGCCGCAAGGTGTAATAGAAAACACTGAAGTGAAGTAAGAAGCAGCCTTAGAATGCAGCCATTGCCCAGCCATACGATCCTGGCTAGGTTAGTTGATTCCTCTGCGCCTCAGTTTTCTCATCTGCAAAATGGGATTAGCAATAGCTATCACATAGTGATGTGAGTTAGTCTATAAAACTACGTGCCAACGGTCCCTGTTTAACTAGTTCTTGGGCCTGAGTTTTTAGGGTAGGGGAGGGCACAGAAGGTGTAATTTTTATGATTCTGTGGAATTAATATTTGAGTGTATCACATCTAAAAATAAATATATCTCTTTTCATTAATCTTCCAGGACCTGGAATAGGATTTTTTTTTTCCTTTAATACATTCCTGGGTTGCTTTGTCCAGAACTGCCCGCCCCCCAAGGGCCCCCCCCATCTCAAGCAAGAACTACATTTTGCATTCCTTTCATATGATACAATTGCAACGCACCAATTCCCAAGGTAGTAGAATAACTCTGTCTCTCTCTGGCTCTATTTTTTTCTTTCTCCTTTTTTTCTTGACAACAGAAAGCTTCTTTTTCCCTCCAGAAAGGAAATGACATCACCCTGTGAATGTTAAATTCTGGCAGAAATGGAGCCACTAAAATGGAAACAAAAAAGGGGGTGGGGGCGGGCAACAGCCAGGAATGAGAAGTTGCATAGCTTTTACTTGGTTGTATGTATTTCGGGAATAAAGGGCGCTCTGTATTATTGGCACCGGTTATCTCTGTGGTCAATGCTGATTTCAAAAATAATTCTCTTCTCCGTGCGCTTGGCAGATTGACTGCATCGATGGCTCCCGTTCTGTATCGCTCCTTCTGCAGTTCCCTTCACGAAAGAGAGCGAGTTTGTTAACCCATCTCTTGCCTTTGGATGCGGCCATGTGACTCGCTTTGGTCTGTGAGATGTTGGCAGTCCTGATGCAAGTAGAAGCTTGAAAAAGTGCCGATGTGTTTCCTCTCATTCTTTGGAACCCCTGACGCCATGAAAGCGTGTCCAGGCTACCCTCTTAGAGGGATATGGGGGGCGGGGGGGTCCAAGCTAAGGGCATCCCAGACCATCAAGCTCTTGCTAACAGATGCAATGGCTTGTGAGCAAAAATTAATGCTGGCTGTTCTGCGCCCCCAAAGTTTGGTGGTGGTTGGTGACACAACAGTAACTGAGACGGTGCATTTGCCTAAAACTTTGGTGCCTGGGGTTGACCCATGACTTCAACTGAAATGGTGAACAGGTTCTTGTACTTCGGGCCACGCTGATGTGACAGTGAGCAGCCTGGAGAGGTCGTTTGAAATCTCCATTCCAGACACACTGCCCTAAATTAAACAACCTGCACACCCCTGCCTCTGTATCTGTAATTTCATTTCTCCCTCCTAGCATGCCCTCCCCTCTCTTCTCTGCCTATTTCAATCATACCAGATCTCTGAGCACCTCCTTAAAAGCAGCCTTTTCTGAACGACCTTTGGCTGCCCTCTGCCTGCAGTGGTCTCTCCAGTCTGTTAATTCATGGGGTGTTTCTTGCCAGAGCCATAAGTTGGATACCCATCACAGGCTGCCTTTCATGGCTACTATTTCTTATCTACAGTTGTTTCTTAAACTAGAGTCTAAGTTCCTGGTGGGCAGGGCCCATCTTCCCCTTCATTTATCCCCCAAATCTCTTCCTTGTTGTCCCAAATTAGATATTCTCTTTCCCTCCTAAAAATGTCCATATCTCTTACAATGTGTTTCTTCTAGGGACCCCACTAATTTCCCTGGTGTAATAGCTGGTCATTGTATTTTCTGCTCACCTCCGCTGCGCTCCACCTCCACCATCAATTAAAGTTCCTCAGACACTTGAATTCCACGTGCGTCTCCAGTACCTGGTAGGGTGCTGACCCTATAGCAGGAGCTCAGTAAGTGTTTGGTTACTTCTTCATCTCTCTCTCTGACTTCATGTTCAACACCCACATTCGGACCCTCATCATTGCTAAACACAACATGGAATTCAGCTTAACAGGAAAATCTAACTAGACCATGCTCCTGTAAAAAACAAACACCCCCCCCCCCCCAAACCAAAACAAACAGAAAACGCCACCCTCTCAAGAGCTCCCCAAAGCCAAACTCTTGGGCCTGGTGTGCATGGCTCACTAAGATCTGCCCAGCCTACCTCTCTAGACCCTTCTCCCTTCACACCAGCCTCGAACTTGACTCCCCAACAGGAAGGCACAGCTGGTGCGACATCATTCACGCCAAACCGTTTCTCTCCAGCTGTACCTGGCCCCCTTCCTCCCGAGCTGTTTCATTTGACCCAGCCCAGCCCATCCTGTCCATCCCACCTGCTCACCAAGCACCCCCATTCCCTTTGGGTGCTGACTTGATCGTTGTGGTGTTTTGATCATCCGATGACGTGGAAGTTTCCTGAGAGCCAAGATGGAATTGCTAACACTCTGTAGGGGCACAGCCTACCACGGCACCCAGAACATAGAAGGACTAAAAAATTGTTGGATGGGTGGATGGAGCCAGGGATCTGCCTGAAGCAGGCCAGCTTGCTATTGGCCTATCTGAATGTAGGCTCGACCCAGGGAACTAGTCCTCCGTGAGCTCACCCATGGTCTTCTGGGACTAGAGTGGGATTAAGTTGGCCAGAGTCCAGTGCCAGCTTTTAGGCTCTCCCCCCGGCCTCCTTGGTGCCCAGGCCCACACTGGGCAGAAGAAGATTCACTTAAATGTCGAATGACGGTGGCTGACATTTACTGAGCATTTTCCATGTATGAGATATTGTTCTAAGCGTCTTAAGTAAATTCGTCCATTCAATTCTCACAGCAGTCTTTTGGGGTACATACTCTTTTATAGATGAGAGTTAGAAGAGGTTAATTAACTTCTCTAAGATCACACAGCTATTCAAAATAGGTTCGGTGTGCAAACCCAGGCAGCCGGCCCTGGAGCCTGCCCTCCTCACCATCACCTCTTGCCCCCCGCCAGGTTCATGTCCTTCAGGGGCCCTTCTGCCATTTCTCAGTCCTTTTCTCTCCCAGGATGGGAGGAGGGGTCAGGGCTAAGAAAAGAACATTTCTGCTTGATTTTTTTTATTTATTCCGTCTCCTTAAATTCCCTGATGACTTCCTGTAGATGCATATTTAGCCAGGATGAGGCCTACCTTTTCTTATTTTTATCTGTATAAACATATTCTTACCCAGGAAGATAACTGTCCTGTTCAGTTGTCTGAACTAATTTTTTTTTTCACACCCAAATTGGGGCAATTTGCAAAGCACCATAGTGCAACTAGCGTGGCTTTTGCAAGCCACCTCGCTCTCAGTGAGCTGGAAATGACACCGCTTCCTCTTTGCCTTTATAGTGAGAACGTAACGTTTGTCACCCGGCATCTGAGCAACCTCAGTGCCACCACCAGCAGAGCTCTGCACGGGTCCCCATGGCACGCATCCCACGTGTGGCATCTCTCCTTCTCTTTCTCAGTAAGTGTCATCGTTCCGCTTGTTTCTCTTGTTCCGGGGGCTGCTGGGTGATGGAACAGGACAATGTGGTTTCTCCAGGAAAAACGGGGCCAGGCTTCTCTGGTGTTGGCAGGGCTTTGTGACTTTTGTCTGCGGTGCCAGATCTGCCCGTTTTGCTGGCTCTGCCTTTACCTTGTCTTCTTGGGCTAGCTCATCCCTGGAGACAGGAAGAGGCTTCGCTCTCCAGCCTGGGAGGTGATTGTAAGGTTTGCCTGATGTCAGAGCTTGACCAGATAAGTGTGCCTTGGGGATAGAAGGAAAGGTCATGAGAGCACTTAGTAGTTTTAGGCTAAGCTAAAGAAGGTTCTGGACTCTATCTGGGCTGAAGTGGGACTTGACTGCTGAGAGACTGAGAAGGGGCAGGGAGATTCACTTGGCTAGGCTGAGGAGCATACGCAGGGGCCTTAGCTGGCCCGGGCATTCCTACATCCTGTAACAGGGGAGGAAAAGGGAAGTTTGATGGTGAATTGGGAAGGGAATGACATAGTTCCAGAGTAGGTAGAGCAGCGAGCAGGTACTAATTGTGCAATGGTTTCCTTTAGCATCTGGTAAAGCCGATAGACCCCATCTCAGAATAATGTCTTAAATGCATAAAATAAAATACAAGGGCTCTAGGGGAAATCAATCAATCATATTGAAATGCAGTTATTAGAATATTTTTTTGAATATTTATTACATTTATTTTTAGTGCTTAACTTATTTAATTTTATTTATTTATTTTTATTGCTTAAAGTATTACAAAGGGTATTACATATGTGTCCTTTTTTTCCCCGCCCATTAGAATATTTTTAATTAATTTTAGGAAGAGGAAAGGGGAGAGAGAGAGAAACATCAATGTGAGAGATAAATATCGATTGGTTGCTTTCCAAATGTGCCCTGACTGAACCAAACCTGCCAATTTTTTTTTCTTCTTTTTTGGTGTATGGGACGATGCTCCAACCAACTGAGCCACACCAGCTGGGGCCAAAATAGTTTTAAATCGATTGTGATGTAGTCACTTATTCATCTCTTTATGCATTTCATAACAATCTAGAAGTTAACCACCAAACTTCAACGTTGTAATGAATATGAACAATATTTCAAGATTTTGGCAAGAACTGTAATGTGATATGAAAATATTTATGGTTTGTTGTCTACATTCATGACTGAAGGAAATACTAAATTTCCATGAATATTAATGAAAATGAAAATGTAGGGTTTTGGTTTTTTTCCCACCCAGGTTTATGGACTCTTTAAAATTGCAAATTTTCTGTCTTTAGTGAGCAGGCTGGAAGGTCCGAGGGAAAAGAAAGTAGTAATCCCAGGTTAAGAACTCCTGCTCTACAGAGAGTGGACTGAGTTAGCGAGGGGACTTAAATGACTGGAACCAGAGGGGAACTAGAAGAAATTACACTCAGTGTGACCAGGGCTGTGGCTAAAGCACAAAAAGGGAGCAGCATTCAGCCAAGAAGGTGCTTAATAAACATGGGTTTGAGCTGAATTGGTTTGGGCTCACGTCGCAAGGGGCATTGGCTAGTGTGAGGTAAGAACCCGATCTGGGGCTTGATGGGGTGAGAGGTGGTCTGAAGGAGATTCCTGGGACCCGTTGCTGGGTGACCAGTGCCCACCGGACTGGTCTGGCAGGTGCTGAGGGCCAGGTGGACTGGTGGGATCCTTTGAGGATTGTTGGCTGGTGTGTTCCTGTTTGTCTGAGAGTGATTCTCGGGTGGACTTGCTTTGCGAATTTGGAGTGTGTGTTTGGTTTGTGTGTAGGAGGAAGCTGGGTTTACATTGGGCAAGTCAGACAATTGCAACTTTTCTCTCTTTTGTAAGCAGGCTGGACGGTCCGAGGGGAGAGGAAGTAGTAACCACGATTCAAAAGGGGGCGCTGGAAGCTTTTCCTTAACCCATTTAAACAATGGCCGATACTGGCTTATATATTTTACTTCGAAAGTCTGAGTCATCCTCAGCACTAACTTTGTATAGAACCAGTTTTTATGTGAAGAACATATAAATCAGGAAGTAACTTGAAAAAATGTAGGAAGCCTGCTATTAGTCATCACAAATATTGAGGGGGAGTCTAGCCAGTTTGGCTCAGTGGATAGAGCGACGGCCTATAGACGGAAGGGTCTGGGTTCAATTCCCCATAGGGGGTGTGCAGGAGGCAGCCAATCAATGATTCTCTCTCATCATTGATGTTTCTATCTCTCCCTGTCTCTTCCTCTCTAAAATCAATAAAAAAACATATATATACTAGAGGCCCGATGAACGAAATTCGTGCAAGAGTAGGCCTTCCTTCCCCCGGCTACCGGCACCAGCTTCCCTCTGGCACCCGGGACCCGGGCTTCTCTCGCAGCCCTGGCTTTGTCTGGAAGGTTGTCCAGAAGGACATCTGGTCTAATTAGCATATTATGCTTTTTAGGGGGAGACGAAGGAAACTAATTAAGTGATGACCAGTTGATCAATTGTACTGTTTAGTCCTAATTTATTTATATTTTTAGTAATCCTGCTTAATCCTGTTATAATATGGTGCTAAATGAGGTCAATGTCATGATTACATGAGCTCTTGGACTTAGCCCTTAGTTCTGCATATTTGATCTGTCATTCCTCACCTCAACTAGACGGCCTCCAAACAAAAGCCATTAATATGGGAGGGTCTTGGGGTGGGGAAATTGCTTGTGTAACTGAAACTATTTCATGAAAAAAAATGAAACTAAATTATGGGTGGAAGCTGTCCCAGCTTCCATGCAGGTAGGTTTTTCTATGTGTAAAGAGAGGAGTTGCGTGGTGTGTCCCATGTTCTCCTGGTAGGTTTTCTGTAAGGTGGAATCATTTGGAGTTGCTGTTTTTGTGTATCAAAAATGGTCAAATATGAGTCATCTTATATGATTCAATCTAATAACTTCTACTCAAATAATACTGAAGTGGCAAATTTGGCAATCCCAGAGATAGTTTTGGAAAAAAAAAAAAAAAAAGCCAGTACCATCACGGAATTCTTCATGTTTCAAAAGCATGACTCCAATGCAGTATGTCAGTGCCACGCTGTGTGCCCATCAGTCAATGAGACTTTGAGCTGCTGTGCTAGGGCATCTAACCCTCTGTCCATTCAGAGAGAGGGCAAAGGGACAGTCCTCCGAGGTAGTTTACTCTTTAGGAAGAGGAGAGATATATATACCATATCCCACAGAGAATATATTCGTGATAAGCTGTTTCAGGGTATGATCCCAATGCATAGGCATTTGAATTGAATTCTGTCAGTCAGTCCTTTCCATCTTAAAAATGCCTATGAAACTGCTACATTATGGCGTTTGCTTTTCTGAGAAAGCAGTACCATCCCAATCATGTTCTTGACCTCATGCTGCTACTAGGACCTTACTCCATTCATCACCCTTTCTCTGGCTTCATCCATCTCTCCCCTCCACTGCTCCTCTCCCATAAGCAGACAATGGCACCTGTGTCCCTCCTGGCCCTCACTGCTGCTCTCTACCTGCTGTCATCTTATTCCTCCCTACTCTTTTGCATGAAACTTCTTGAAGTAGTTTACGCTTCCTGCATTGGCTTCTGACCCTTGAAATCTGCCGCTTCTGCTCGATTGACATCACTTTTACAAAGATCTCCGCTGACACCCTCATCATTAAGCCTTTAGAATCCTCAGCCTCTCGCAGTGCTGACAAGCCCTTTCTTATTGGAATGATTTGCCTCCTTTGGTTTCCACTGTGTCTTGGCTGCCCTCTCAACTCCCTAACTCTTCCTTCCATAGGTATTGTTCCTCATCTAAACCCCTAAATAGAGAGATTTTCTAGTAATCTCTCTTTAGCCCTCTTCTTTATATTCCCTAACACTTCCCAGTACTTATATGTGTAACTGACTTAATTTGCATCTACAGCCCAGAACTCTCCCTACTTACAAACAAGCATTTACAGGAAACCATGAGAAACCGTAGAGATAGCCAGAGGTTTGGCATTGGCAAATCTAGGTTCAAGTTTGACTCGACCATTTACAAGTTTTGGCACTGCCAAATAAGGAACTGTGACGGAGTTCTTGAAAGGATTAGAATATACATCTTTTCAAAGGGTTGAAGACTTTAAAGCACGGATACATATATTTAACTATTATTTCCAATTATTTGCTGTATATCCTTCCTGTTTATTCCACAGTACTCAAATTTAGTATTTCCAAAATTAAATGCATTATCTTCTTCCTTGAACACACAACAGAAACTCCCCCTGATCTCCTATTTCTGTTAATAGTTCCATTATTCTTCCAGTCACCCTCACAAACCTGGGTATCATCTTTGATGTCTTCCTTCCTTCCATCCCTCCACCCACCCCTACTACCTCCAAGCATCCAAGACACTGAAAAACGATAGATTTTATCACCACAATGGCTTTGAAATTGTAGTCCCTTTCTTTCCACCCCTGTTGCCTTCATCACTTCTCTCCTGGGCTACAATAATTACCTCATGTCTGTTTCTAATTTCCATCATCCTATACAAATTGTCAGGTTAATTTTCCTAAGACCTTTCGAACACTTTCAGGCTTAATCAAGCATGGCTTACTCAATCAAGTTCAAACATTTAATCATAAGAGTCAAGTCCTTCATGTTCTGGACCCAAATGTCCTACCTGGTCTTAACCTCCTCCTATTAATCTTCATATAACTCTTCCCCTAATCTAACCGATTACTTCCTATTTCCTTTAACAAGTCTTTTGATTCCTATTCATTCAGTCTCCTCATGAAATCTCCTTACCTAAAAGATCTTGTCTCCCCACTTAAATTGTCATAATCGTTCCAATTCTCCAAAGTCCATTTCTGGTACTGTCTCTTTCATAAACCTGGCCTGTTTCCCTCCTCAAAAAATATAATCTCTCCTTCCTTCAAATTCCTCAAAGCATTTTTATCACCTCTCTCTATGAGGACTATTACCCTGCTTGACCAAATTATAAAATATAGAAGTCAGAGTCTCTCTCAAACTCATCTTCATATCTTGGTTCCTGAAGCATCAGAAATACTAGAAGTGGTTGAATAAATATTTATTGAACTGGCAAATAAAACAGAAAATGAAATGTTAGTTTTCACAATGAAATGCTTCAAATGCGGTACCCATCTCTCTGAAAAGTCATGGAAAATGTTGAAGGAGTGTTGCCTAGCAACCAAAAATAGCATTGTGGAAACATGCCCTGATATAAACAGGTGAGTGGTACCTCAGAAACCATATTTTTTAAAGGCATTTTTTAATTGTGAAATATAACACACAAGAACAGTTAATAAAACATAAATGTGCCTTTGAAAAAATAAGTAAAAAGTAAAAACCATGCAATCACTACCCAGGTCAAAAAAAATAGAACACTGCTAAGACCCAAGAAAGACCCACCCATGCTGCCATGGGCCCCATCCAGATCACAGCCCTCCCCCCACACAATCACTTTTCTGACTTTCATGATAACCACTTCCTCGCTTTTCTTTTCTTTTAATTCTCTTTACCCCTTATGTTTGCATCACTTAACACAGTGTAGTCTTGCCTGTTTTAAAACTTTATAAAGAGTAGAACCATTCTATTCTCTAGGTAGTCAAACAGATTCAAAGTATTTTGCATCTTTTATTAAACACAGTTATTCATGTTATTGCAACTATTTTATTTTATGGATGTCCTGAGTTCATCTGCTCTACATTGGTGGGCGTATGGGTGGCCTCTAGTTGGGGGCTCTATTGAATAATACAGCCACAGATGCTCTCACGGTCGCCTGAGGCACAGTGCACACCTCTTAGGTGCATGTCTAAGACTGGCTGGCTTTGCTGAAAATGTTTTCAATGGCGTCTGTAGTATAATCTTTTTTTTTGGTAAATAATAATTTAAAATTTTCTCAGATGCCCTAACTTCTAAGCACAATATAAACATAAAATATATATGAATTGGGATTTATGAATACATGAGTATATTTTAAATGATTACTGGAAATGCAGGTGGTTGGTCAATTGGTTGGTTGGATGTTTGTTGTTCCGTTTTGCACTGAGCATGCACATGTGCAGTTTTTAGTTAGTTGACTGTATCGGGTGACAACTTACTCTTTCTGCCCATTTGTTTGCAGCCCCGCTTGTATCAGAATTGTTTTCATTCCAAAATTTCTATTCTCAGCCTTATCATGGTCTCTGTAAGGTCATTGTTCCTTTCTCTCACTTTTTCCCCTTCAGTTTCCTCTGTCCTGTAGGGTCATGCGATTCAGCAGATGCTCTGCTTCTCCGGTATCTTCTTATGAACTCCGTTCTGTTAATTCCTTCAGATGAGCACTCCGACTTGTGGTCACTCCATCTCATCCTCCCCTCCCACTGGCCCTCCGCCCTCCTGAAAGATCTAGCTCATCCTTGTGGCATCTGTCATCTGTTCTTTGTTTTTTTCTGGAACACAAACTAGCCTTTAATATTAACATAATAAATAAACGCATTGTAATTTCTGCAAAATGCTTGATTTTGAAAATGTGTATATCAGAGGAAATGTTACCGTTCAATAATGTTTTCTCCTTTAAATCTAATACATGAGATTTGTCCCAACAGAAAACATTCCACAGTGGTCCCAAATGAAAACCTGGGTAAGGGAAGAACTAAAATAAATTCTGATTCCAGATCCTGTGGGACTTGACATTCAACAGTATGAAGCTTTTCAATAAAGCTGTAGTGGCTCTTTAAAAAATTACAAATCAAAACCCCCTCCGCGGTATAGAAAGGAAGTACTGCTATCTCTTCAGGTGCTAATTTCAGCTGATCTTGCATCATATGTGGCCAGGAGCTACAAATAGACCAACCAACCCACAGGAAAAGGCATGGCCCCATGGGCAGTGCTGGAGACTGCCTCTCCAGCAATCATGGCTGTGAGAAATGCCCCCAGGAATTTGAGGCTTAGGAAGTACCTGCTGAATTTCGCACCCCATCTCTCCCCCCCCCCCGCCCCAAAATGTACAGGTGAATCATCATATATCGTTTTTACTTTAAAATAAGTGCATTTCAGATAAGCAGATATGTTTCAAGGTAGGGGCCATGTTACATGAATTAAGCTAGAATTGTATGTTTTTTTAAAAATTCAATTTAGAGAGGAAGGAAGAGGGAGAGAGAGAGAGAAACATCGATGTGAGAGATCAGCTGCCTCCTGCATCCTGCATGCTCCCTACCCAGAATTGAGACCACAACCTGGGCATGTCCTCTGACTGGGAATCGAACTGGCAACCTTTTCATGCACAGGATGATGCCCAACCAACCGAGCCCCACTGGCCAGGGCTAGACTTGTTTTTGTTGTTGTTGTTTTAATTAACTTCTAGTCTTGTTACAGGTATTTTTATTTAGCTATCTTTTTTTTAAAATATATTTTTATTGATTTCAGAGAGGAAGGAAGAGGGAGAGAGAGATAGAAACACCCATGATGAGAGAGAATCATGGATCGGCTGCCTCCTGCAAGTCCCCCACTGGGGATCGAGCCCACAACCCGGGCATGTGTCCTTGACTGGAATCATCGAACCTGGGACCTTTCAGTTCGCAGGCTGACGATTTATCCACTGAACCAAACCAGCTAGGGCTAGACTTGATTCTAAGAGACTAGAGATTATAATGGAAGTTAAAGTTATAGAAGAACAATTCATTCATCAAGCCATTCCACTGCTCCTCAGCCTAAAGAAGATGTTGAACCTTTGAGCTGATTATAGCTAATAACCTGCGCTCTCAGTTACAGGGAGTGTAATACAGGGAGCTGCAGAAGGCGGCACGCTGGGAACTGGGACACTAATCTATTTTTATTCCCCTTTCTTTCTCCCACTTGCAAGCTAAGCTCAGCATTGGCCAGAGAGAAGTAACAGTTCAGAAAGGACCGCTGTTTAGAGCTGAAGGTTACCCTGTCAGCATCGGCTGCAAGGTAACTGGCCACCAGGGACCTTCCGAGCAGCATTTCCAGTGGTCTGTTTACCTGCCGACAGCCCCGGCCCGAGAAATCCAGATCGTTAGCACCAAGGATGCCGACTTCACTTACGCAGCGTATGCGCAGCGGGTGCGAAGCAGGGATGTCTACGTGGAGAGGCTCCAGGGCAACTCAGTCTTGTTGCACATCTCAAAGCTCCAGGTGAAGGATTCTGGTGAATATGAGTGTCACACACCGAACACTGATGGCAAATACTATGGGAGTTACAGTGCGAAGACTACTCTGACTGGTAAGCCGTGTGCCCTCCTCTGCTAGCCACCCCCAAATATCCATCGCAGTGCCTTGCGGTGTGACATGGCTTTATATTGTGCTGTTTGCTTTGGCAAAATTGCCCATGTACCTCTCTGGATATTTGGGGGATTTATCACAAATAGGTATTTCATGTCTTTGAAAGCTGTCAATTAATTTTTCCAATCAACTTTGCCTTGAAGATTGAGATAGTGTGTGTCTTCCCAAGGCCTACGCAGAGCTACCCATAGGTTGATTGTAGCCACAGCATCAGTCAAAGCTTAGAGAGCTCTCATCAGGTTATGTCTTCTCTTGGAGGCAGAACATTAACTTGATAAGAGCTGGTATTAATGTCATAGGTGGTATTAATGTCATAATGTCAATGCTTATTTTCATACTACCCTTCTCTAGCATATTTACCAAAAAAAGAAAGGGTAATAGTTCTTGCAATTACCATTTTGTCCCTTTGCCTAGAATATCTTATCACCCTTTGTTCAGCCTAGCAAACTCCTACATACACTTCAGGACCCAGTGTAGCTATTACCTCTGCTGTGAAACCTGCCCTGACTGTTGCAGGCAGTATTTCAATTTCTTTCCTCTCAATGCTCTAGTCACACCACTATTCTTAGCCCTCACCCGTTTCTGTGGTAATTGGCTGCTTCTGTGACTCTCTCCTACCTCACTCTGAGCACCAGGAGGAGGGGATGTTTCTCTCAGTCCCTTGCACTAAATAGATGCTCAGTAAATAGTCATTGATCGAATCTAAGTGTTGCCTTCACTTAAGCTTAGGCTCTGTCATTTCCTGTGAGGACGGAGAGAATGATGAGGTGTAGGATGGTTATCAGCACTTTCGAACAGGTTGCATGTTGGCTCTGAATAGCAGATAACAGATGGTTTCAGAATGTTGTTTTATAAAGGAGCAGGTTAAGGCCAAGGAAGTGAACTGACTTGCTCCGGTTCATGTAGTCAGATAGGGACAGATTTTGGATCAGAATCTAGGTCTTCTAGCTCCCAGGGTGTTCCCCTTTAAATACTTCATGTCCAAGTAGCAACCTTGGCTACAGCCTATGCTAAACATGTAAAGATCAGTACATCAGGGAGCCATTAGCTTTGCTGAGTTCCGCCTACTGTATGTACATAGATGCCAATATTTGCATTGGCCACAGGGAACGCGTATGGCTACCTGAAAAGAAACTCAAAGTATGTGCTTTACTGATGGCGGGTCAGGGCGCCATCTTCATCTAAGTAGGCCAGTCTGACTGGCATTGGGCCAATTACCATTATGTCTTTGCTTCCAGTTATTCCAGACACCCTCTCTGCCACCATGAGTCCCCAGACTCTCAGTAAGGAGGAAGGTGAGCCGTTAGAACTTACCTGTGAGGCAGCCAAAGCCACAGCTCAGCATACCCACCTGTCTGTCGCCTGGTACCTGCTGCAGGATGGAGGAAGTCCAGCCACCAAGATTATTTCCCTCTCCAAAGATTTTACGTTGCTCCCTGGGCCCTCATACACAGAGAGGTTTGCACGTAGTGCCGTGCGGCTCGACAAGCTTGGGGCCGCTACCTTCAGGCTGTCCATAGGGAGCCTGCAGCCCTCGGATCAAGGCCGGCTGTTCTGTGAGGCAACTGAATGGATTCAGGATCCGGATGAAACCTGGACTTTCATTGCAAAAAAGCAGACAGATCAAACAACCTTGAGAATCCAGCCAGCAGGTAATTATCTTCTCGGAAAATTAATGTGCTGGTGGTGGGTATTTATGGGATAACTTTTTGTTTTCTTCTAATCTTCTGTTGAATCTAAAAATGTTTTTCCTGAAAGCTTGAGTAAATTTTCCTTTCGCCATCCGGGAAGCATAAATAAAAGAAAGACCGTCCATTTTTGGCTCTGTCCACAGGAGGGTTTATATGGGCTAAGGTCTGTTGAATAGTTGGATAGATTCCACAAGCCGTATGTGGAAATAGTGTTGTTACCATTCTGGCCAGGCTCTGCAAGGACCCTGAGCCTCAGCCATGCTGAATGCTCTGCCCAAGGTCACCCCGCTGCTGAGCGGTGGAGCTGGCCTTTGGAATCAGGTGTGTCACCACAGACACCTGGCCTGAGTCGCTGTAGATTGTGTTGGGTGGCATTTTCTTCTTTTTGTTGCGATTGTCAATAAGCGTTGTCTTAATTTATTTTTCTAATAGTTCGTTGTTAGTGTCTAAAAACACAACAGATTATTTTTGGATGTTGATTTTTGTAGCCTGCACCTTGACTGAAATTGTGTATTAGTTTTAACAGTTTTCTGAGTGGAGTCTTTTGGAGTTTCTACACATGATTTTACTTCTTCTTTTTTCTGATTTGGATGCCTTTTATTTATTTATTTTTCTGGCTACTTGCTCTGGTTAGGACTTTTGGTACCATGTGGAATAGAGGTGGTAAGAGTGGGCATTCTTGTCTTACTCCTGATCTTAGAGGAAAAGCTTTCAGTTTTTCATTGTTAAGAATGATATTAGCTGTGAACCTGTCATAGATCACATGTGCTTTTAACGTAGGAAAACTCCACTGGATACTCTCAGCCAAAATATAGAGCAAGAAATCACCATTTCTAGTAATTCAACATAGCAAAAAATCTGTCATATCTTTTATTTTAAAAACACATTGCTCTATACTTTATACATCTATGCACACATCCTGCTTAATAGGATTGCATTCAGAGAACAGGTATGCTGTTCTTTCTGTGTGATGTAAGAAACAGGCAAGGGCATTTTCGATGCTAGGCATTTCTTCGGCCTATCTCCTCCTTAGACTTGAACCCCAACATGGCATTCAGTCTTTGTACTGTCCTTACGGGGCTTTCATCTCTCTTTGCTACTGAAGGGACAGATGCAGTGGCCTCTCTAAATACCTGCCTTGCTTTGTTTCCTAGTGAGAGATTTTCAAGTCAACCTTACGGCCGAGAGCACGTTTACTGAAGGGAAACCCTTGGAACTGGTGTGCCAGGTACTGGGCAGTGGCCGGGACCCACAGCTTCAGGGCGTTTGGTTCTTCAATGGTATGGAAGTGGCCCGCATTGATGCCAGTGGAGTTCTGGGCCTGAAGGAAGGCTACAACGAGAGAGCAAGTCAAGGACAACTCCAGGTTTCAAAGTTGAGCCCCAAGGCTTTCTCTTTCAAGATCTTCTCTGCGGGCCCAGAGGATGAAGGCACCTACAGATGCGCAGTGGCGGAGATGACAAGGGCTCAGATGGGCTCCTGGCAGCTGCTTCAGAGCAAGCAATCCCCAGACAGTCACGTGCACCTGAGGAAGCCAGCAGGTATGTGAAGTCGGACCAGGCATGGTCGAGCTGCTTTCAGATCCTCTCCTTCATTAGTATAGGCTGCCTCAGCTTTCAGATCCTCTCCTTCATTAGTATAGGCTGCCTCAGAGACACAGTGGAGATCTCCTGAAGAGTCAGGTGTCAATCAGAATACCTGAGCCCTGTTCTTTCTTCCTTCCTTTTTTTTTTTTTTTAAATATATTTTTATTGATTTCAGAGAGAAATGGAGAGGGAGAGAGAGAGAGAGAGAGAGAGAGAGAGAGAGAGAGAGAGAGAGAGAGAGAGAGAAACATCAATGATGACAGAGAAGAGAGAGAGAGAGAAACATCAATGATGACAGAGAATCATTGATCGGCTGCCTCCTGCACGCCCCCTATTGAGGAGCGAGCCCGCAACCCGGGTATGTGCCCTGACCGGGAATCGAACTGTGACCTCCTGGTTCATAGGTCGGTGCTCAACCACTGAGCCACGCTGGCTGGGCCTGAGTCCCGTTCTTGAGCGGTTAAATGGGTCATGACCGTGGATGCTCCACTTTATTTCTCTAAATCTCAACTTCCTCAAGTGTAAAATAATGACATACAATTAGATTGTCCTTAAATCCTTTCTTGCTATCCTAGGTTCTTTGATTCTATTTGCTGGCAGCCCTAATTTTCCACAGTGGCTTTTTCTTCAAGCAGAGAACACCTGTCTGAATGAAGCCCTCTGTCTTCTTTTGTTGTGTGTGTGATGTGAGTAGGTTAAGAGGAAAAGCTCCACTTTGCTTCTTCCTGGGGAATGAACACCCACATTACACCCCACACTCCTCCACCATTCAGGTGCCTTTTGTCAATCCTTTATTATCTTCACCAGCCATAGGGACTAGTTCTAAGTCTTTTTTTTTCTAAGTCATAATTCTGCACCAAAGCATGGCTCATCAAAGGAATGAAGAGGGAAATGATAGTACACAGGCGCTATTCCCTGCCTTTTGCTGTGATGTGGTGAGATGTCTGTCCAATGGGTCTGAGTAGCTGTAGGCATGAGACTGGAAAGACCACTCAGCTCTCACTTAGTTTATGAAGGTTGGGTGACCTTAAACATGTTTGAATAGTCAGTGCTTTTGTGTGGAGAAAGAATGGATAAATATGCAACTAATACAGTGGTCCCTCAGTGTCCATGGGGATTGGTTCCAGGACCCCTCACAGATACCACAATCCATGGATGCTCAAGTTCCTTATATAAAACTAGAGGCCCAGTGCACAAAAATTTGTGCACTCCGTGGGGGAGGGGGGGGTCCCTCAGCCCGGCCTGTGCCCTCTTGCAGTCTGGGACCCCTCAGGAGATAACGACCTGCTGGCTTAGGCCTGCTCCTGGGTGGCAGAGGGCAGGCCCAATCCCTAGGTGCAGCCCCTGGTCAGGCTCAGAGCAGGGCTGATTGGGGAGTTGGGGCACCACCCCCTGTCATGCACAGAGCAGGGCGGATTGGGAGGTTGCGATGCCACCCTCAGTCACGCTCAGGGTGGGGCCGATTGGGGGGTTGGGGCACCGCCCCCTGTCACGCACAGAGCAGGGCCAATCAGGGGGTTGGGGAGCTCCCCCCTGTCACGCACAGAGTAGGGCCGATAGGGGAGTTAGGGCACCGCCCCCTGTCACACACAGAGCAGGGCGGATCAGGGGGTTGGGGCGCCGCCCTCTATCACCCACAGAGCAGGGCCAATCAGGAGGTTGGGGCGCCGCCACTGTCACACTCAGGGCAGGGCCGATGGGGAGGTTATGGCTCTACCCCGTCACACACAGAGCAGGGCCAGTGGGGGGGGGTGGGTTGGGGCGCCGCAACCTGTCACACACAGAGCAGGGCCCATCAGGGGGTTGGGGCGCCTTCCCCTGTCACGAACAGAGCAGGGCGGATAGGGAGGTTGTGGCCCCGCCCCCTGTCACACACAGAGCCGCAGGGCGATCAGGGGGTTTGGGCGCTGCCCCCTGTCACGCTGATCCGGTGCCAGGAGGCCTTACGGTTCCGCTGATCCCAGTGCTGGGAGGCATATTACCCTTTTACTATATAGGATAGAGGCCTGGGGGCTGGCTGGTTTGCCCTGAAGGGTGTCCTGGATCAGGGTGGGGTCCCCACTGGGGTGCCTGGCCAGCCTGGATGAGGGGATGATGGCTGTTTGCAGCTGGTCACACACCCTTCAGGGTGAGGGTCCCCACTGGGGTGCCTGGCCAGTCTGGGTGAGGGGCTGAGGGCTGCTTTCAGGCTGGTGGTTGTTGACTGAAGCTCCCAACCGCTCCTTTTTTTTCTCTTTTTTTTATTTTATTCTGGGCCATCTTTAGCTCTGGCTCTAGCTCTGAGGCTTCGTATCTGGTTTGTTTGCTGTTCTATAATCGAAGCAATGTATAACTTCAGCTCTGAGATCCCAGCAGGCTGAAAGCTGGTTTCTGGGGTTTTGTTTCACTTCTACATTTGCAACATAGTACATAGTTGCTTAGAGTTGCAACTCAGAGGCTGGCAAGTCAGGCGGGGAACGTTGGAGTCTGCAGTCCCTGAAGCAAGCAAGCCTCATGTTCGCTTCCAGCTGCCTGGCTGCCGGCCGCCATCTTGGCTGATAGTTAATTTGCATAAGGATATGCTGATTAGCCAATGAGAAGGGTAGCGGTCGTACGCTAATTACCATGTTTCTCTTTTATTAGTGTAGATGATATAGTATTTGCCTATAACCTGTGCACACCCTCCTGTGTACTTTAAATCACCTCCAGATTACTTATAATACTTAATGCAATGTAATTATTATGTAAGTAGTTGCTATTCTGTATTGTTTAGGGAGTAATGACAAGGAAAAAAGTTTGTACAGATGCCACCATCTTAGGCCTAACTACACAGTATAGTTTAGGGAGTAATGACAAGGAAAAAAGTTTGTACAGATGCCACCATCTTAGGCCTAACTACACAGTACACGTCAGGTGCAATAATAACTTTTTTGTGTGTGTGTAATATTTTCAACCCACAGTTGGTTGAATCAGCAGATGAGGAACCCATGGTTATAGAGGGCTGACTGAATTAGGATTCTCTGGGCTGAGTATTAAATTCAAAGTCTGGAAAGATTAATTTCCAAGATAGATAAATTCCCCTTTCATGCTTTCCTTCATCTCCCCGTTTGCTAGGAATGAAGACACAGAAGCTCTGGCCTAGAGTGGCGAGCCAGGAAGTGCGTTGGTGTTAGTTTTCACACCAAACATTTGGTTTAACTTTCTAGGAATCAAGGAAAACAATGTAGGCGGTTTACATATTTACACAGAACTAAATCCCTGCTTTGTGCATCTCAGTTCCCCCTGGAGCATATCTGTGACCTTTCTTAAACCCAGAATGCGGGAATTTGTGCCAAAGGGACCATAGGTGTATGTCATGGAGTACAGATCCTAAGCTTACCAGTAGGGTGGTCTTCTAAAGCAAACACAGTCCTTTGTGTAGGCTGGAGCCCAAAATGGGCCCAATATGTAGAAACAGAAAAAGTATTTAGCAAATTTATTCAGGATCCTGTTGCACACTCAGTTTTAAAAGTCAAGCCAGCCCTGGCCAGTGTGGCTGGGTTGGATGGAACGTTGTTCCGTTGTTCCGTACACCAAAAGGGGGCAGGTTCGATTCCCGGTCATGGCACATGCCTAGGTTGTGTGTTCCTACGGGAGGCAACCAGTCGATGTTTCTCACATCTATGTTTCTCTCTCTCTCTCTTTTCTCCCCCTTCCCCTCTCTCTAAAAAAATCAGTTAAAAAAAAAAAAGAAATGAAAGTCAAACCATTATTTGAAATATGAGCAGTTGTATCCTTCTATGAACATTTTAGACAGAAGGGGGAGACGCACTACTGAAACCGGGAAAGTCAGCATCAGCGCTACCTGTCACTACCAGAATCAATAAGTAGAGACAAGGACTGACTCTTTGTGGGCACTTTATTCAGACGGCGGGTGATCTGAGAAGATGGCAGGCTATATACCCTAAAAAGTCCACCTTACATCTCATTTCAAGCCACCCTTTTTATGAGGAGAAGAAAAGTATAGCTAAAGGGCTTAGAATTCAGGAGAAAATAGGTAAGGGGTTTGGAATTCAGGAAAGAAGGTTAATCAGATAAAAGCTGCAGTCCAGCAATTTTCTGAGATCCCCATTATCTGCATCCTGAGTAGGGGACATTCTCTCCCTGGAGCACAATGGCTCAGATACAGTCTTGTCTTGTTTCTTACAGTCCTCCCGAGACACAAAGCTCGAGTTGCTTGTGGGTCTCCTGAAGTCAGGGCAGGTCCGGTCATACATTCCAGTCCCTGGAACAATAGCTTTCTACATGCATTAATTACCATAATGGTTACATTAGAGTAGTGAGATTATGAGCAATAAAATTCCCTCTAATTTCTAAGCCTCAGTTATGACTCTATTTTTAACTTGACAAAAATGTAAGTATAATCATGCTTCTAATACCCAAAATTTGGAAACAGGTTTGCATATATACACACACACACACATATATATGCATATATATAATTTGTAGACATTAATCTTCATTCTGCCTTTGTAACTTATATACATCTGTAATAATAAAAGCTTAATATGCTAATTAGACCGGATGTCCTTCTTGACGACCTTCTGGACAAAGCTGCCGGCGGGCAGCAGGGGCCGAGGCAGAGGCCGAGGGCTGAGCCCCTTGCATGAATTTCGTGCATTGGGCCTCTAGTATATATATAAAACAGCAGAAGAGTGAACTACGTCCACAGCAGGAAAGAACAATTTGCAAATTCAATTAGATGCCATTCAGATTCCCAGTGCCAGTTCTTTTTCATTTTTCTCCTTTGGCTCTGAACCACCCTATTTTCACGAAGTGTCTATGATAACATACTAATGCTAATAGCTAACCCTTACTGGGCACTTTCCCTTGCCAGCCAGGCTAAGCCCTTTGCATGTGCCATTCATTTAGTTCACACAACAATGTGATAAGGTGGGTGCTATTAGTACCCTTATATTTATAGGAAAGAAAATCGAGGCTCACAGAGGTCTATTATATTGCCCAACATCATTCTGACTCCAGGGACCTGGGCCTTCAGCCTGAGGCTGGGCTGCCTCCGATGCATGAGCCCCTGAGCTGTCTTTGCTTTGCCTACAAAGCACCCAGGACCAGGGCTTGCCCAGGAAGTGGTTGTTGAATGAATGTCTGCATTTCTACACATCTCGAATTTCCCACCTGGGAACCAGATTCACATTTATAGGTTTACACTGTGATTTAAAAGAAGGATCTCCCTTCAGCCAACACCACATATATTATATGTAATTTGAAAAAGAGAAATATATCTGCACATATGTATTTTCCCCCAAGTAATCGTTTTTAATGAGAGTATTGTGAACAGAAATCCTATTTACAATACTCCTTCCCTGTTCAAAACACATGCTAATTTAGGGAAAGGTAAGAGAGAGAGGATGGTCATTTTAAACTGTGCAAGTCTGACTTCCAAAAAACTAAAAATTTAAATAAACACAGCTTCATTACTTTCAGGGTCACACATCCCCCCACTAATTAATTTAACAAAATATTGCCAGATGTTTTCCCAACTAGATGTTCTCAAGGAAGGGCTGATTTAACACACTCTAAGAAGAAGGGCACATTATAAATTGTTTAAGTGTGAATAGGCTCCCCTGATATCCTTTCTGCTGTCTTGTTTCCACCATTAAAGCATTTGGCAAGTCTTTTTTTCTGAGGTGGTGCAGGAGCAAGCAGCCTGATCTGATTTGTCACTAACCAGTCACGTCCCAATGAATGAGATCTCCTTGTATTTTAGAAAATTTTTCATTTCCTTGAAATCATTTTTTCTTACCCAGCTGGTGTGGCTCAGTGGTTGAGCGTCGACCTATGAACCAGGAGGTCACGATTTGATTCCCCGTCAGGGCACATGCCCAGGTTGCAGGCTTGATCCTCAGTGTGGGGTGTGCAGGACAGTCCATGAATGATTCTCGCTCATCACTGATGTTTCTATCTCTCTCTCCCTCTCCTGTCCTCTCTGAAATTAATAAAAATATTTTTTAAAAATAATAATAATTTTTTTCTTCTAAAACTTGTAATCCATAGCAAGAAGTGTGGCCGTGTCTACCCAGAACAAGCAGCAAGCTGTGTGGGAAGGAGAGGCACTCACCCTTCTCTGCAAGGCAGACGGAGCCGAAAGTCTCCTGTCCGTGAGCTGGTGGCACGTGCCGCAGGGCCAGACACAGCCGGAGTTTGTGGCTGGCATGGAGCAGGATGGCACCGTGCAACTGGGTGCCTCCTATGGGACACCCACTAACCACGGCCACGCCAGGCTGGAGAAAATGGACTGGGCCACCTTCCGGCTGGAGATCACCTCCACCACGGTCACGGACAGTGGCACCTACGAGTGCAGAGTGTTTGAGAGGGTCCGGAGCCAGGCCAGAGGCCTGAGCTGGATGCAGAAGACGTCGGTCACTGTAAAATCTCTGGGTAAGTGTCGAAGAAATCCTTTTCTGAAATCATCAACATCTCTTGCAGTGAGATGGGGTAGCATCTGATTGTGTCTCCTCCTGAATCCCCTCGTTAAGGTGTGTGCACCCAGAACACAGAGCATAGTCTTTGGCTACCATGTCTGTCAGTTAATCTCCAAAGTTCACTCATCTTGATAAAAATCATCTTTTTTTAAGTCCTCACCTGAGGATATTTTTACCGTTGGTTTTTAGAGAGAGTGGAAGGGAGAAGGAGAAAGAGAGGAAAACATCGATCTTACATCAATTGGTTGCCTCCTTTACGTGCCTGGGATTGAGCTTGCACCGGGGTACATGCCCTTGAGTGGAATTAAATCTGGGACCCTTCAGTCAGGCTGATGCTCTATCCACTGAGCCAAACCGGCCAGGGCTATAAAGATCATCTCTAAGGTACAGCTTGTAAGCTGTCATTCAAGGCTAAAAAGGAAGTCCTAGGAATTGGAGCAGACTTATAGAAGAGGTATGCCAAGGGGAGCTGAGTCCCATACACTCAGCTTTTGACAGCTGCAGCCCTGGAATGACAGTCTGCCTGGCGTGTGCCGAAGAGTGTACTGCACATGAGTGGGCGTAAGGGAAGGAGGCCAGGCACCGGGCCTGGGGAGCACCCCTCCCACTCAGTGGCAGCTGTCTAAGGAGCCGACTGGCAAACACTTGCCTGTTTGTTGTTGCTGCTGAGAACGCTCTGAGAAGAGGCTCAACTTTGGAAAATTGAGGTCAGCATTCAGGACAGACTGTACTGTGAATCAGCATCTACCCCCCAAACACTTGGTACTCCCCGGGGATGAATGATGGTTCGGTGTGCAGAGGTGGTGCCTGGGAAGCTAGGCAGGGCTGGACTTTGGTTTGATAAACATACGACAAATTGCGTTTCGCATTTCTGCCCACAGCGTCGAGTTTACAAGTTAGTCTGATGAGCCGTCAACCGCAAGTGAAATTAACCAGCACCGTTGACCTGGCCTGCATAGTGGGGGCCGGCTACTCCGACCTCCAGGTACCACTCACCGTGACGTGGCAGTTCCAGCCCGCTGGCTCTCATGTCTCTCACCAGCTCGTTCGAGTCACTCATAATGGCACCATTGAGTGGGGGGACTTCCCGTCCCAGTTCCAAAGGAGGACAAAGATTTCACAGTCTTCGTTCCGTTCTCAACTCTTAATCCACGAGGCCACCGAGGAAGAGGCGGGAGTGTATCAGTGTAAGGTGGAGGTTTATGACAGAAATTCCCTGCCCATGAATGGCCCGGCGCGGGCTTCTGCCAGTTCTCACCCCCTGAGGATAGTCATCTCTTTACCAGGTAATCACCACTCAAAATTAATCCCTGCTTCTTTTTTTTTTAACCTCACCTGAGAATTTTAATTTTTTAGAGAGAATGGAAGGGGATGAGGGTAAGAGAGACAGAGAGACAGAGACAGAGAGACACACACACACATCGATTGGTTGCCTCCCACACGTGCCCTGACTGGAGCTGGGGATCAAACCTGCAACCGAGGTATGTGCCTTTGACCGGGAATTGAACCTGGGACCCTTTGGTGCGCCAGCTGGTGCTCTAACCACTGAACAACATCAGCCAGGGCAATCCCTGCTTTTTAAAAAAAAAATACTACTCCCACTTTGGGTAAGTTATAGAATTAAAACAGAAAGGCCTCTCCCTGTGTTTGTACTGCATACATCAGCACCACATATAAGCAATACCTAGGCTAACTGTGTTAGTATGCACAGAATGGCCATACTGGTTGTTAAAACATTGAAATAGTTCCACACCGACTAATAATAACTGTTCCTCCATGCCCCTTCTCCATCTTTCTACAAGTCCCCACCAGCCAGCAACCCAAGAGTAGTACCGCATGGCACAGCGGGGACCTCTAGGGCTAGCACCAGTGGGGTGTGGATCATGTACATTTCATCAGAATATATTTATCCACTTACTTTAATGGGTTGATGTATACGAGTTAGAGAATTTATGATTATTGGCCAATATAATTTACCTTGTCAGTTGCTAATAGAGCATAGAGGTTAAAAGCAAGACAACCTGGGCCAAGTCCTGCTGTGTCGGGTATCTTCTTTCATGACTTTCGTTCTCTCAAGGAAGAGTGTTCGAGAGTCTTTGAGGTCAATTAGATCTGACAAGCACTGGGTAGCAGCATGGCTTTGGCCGAGTCACGTAACCTGCCCAAGCCTTGGGACCTCCCCTGTAAACTGCTAATGTGCAATTTAAAGGTGGTGGCATGCATAATGTGCCTAGCACAGTGCCTGACGCACCAAGCGGATGCTCAAACGTGGTGGCTGTCATTGTTCTGTCTGCTGCTCAGCAATGTTTTCAGTAACAGTAATGGTCTCCTTGTTGATGAACTCGTGCCTTAATTTACTTGTCCTTTCTGTGGATTTTGAAATTGTTGGCCCAAGCCTTTCTTCTTGAAACTTCTTTTTTTCTTGACCTCATGATATGAGCTTTTCTTGATTTCCCTCCTAATGCTCCAACTGCTCCTTCTCATTCTGTTTTGCAGAATTCTCCTCCTCCACTGATTCATCCCTTGGGGTTTCATCCTCAGGTTGCTCTCTTCTCATCCTATACACTCTCCTGAAATGGGCTTATTCCTACCCCCGGATTCAACCTATGTCCTGCCAACTCCCAGACCCATTTCTTCTGATCTCCAGACACGTCTATGCAGCTGCCGCCAAGACATGTCTACACTCAATATGTAAAAACATAAATGCGCCATTATTATCCCCCCAAAGCTACTTCTCCTCCATTGTCCTTTATGTCCCCACCACCCACCAGTGACCCACATGGGAAGCCCGAGTCATCCACCACTCCTCCGTGCTCGCCTCATATCCACACTCCCATAGCACAACCTGCAAGGTCCTTTATGATTTGGTACGTTTTATGTCTCTCCAGCATCATCTCCTTCCACTTTCCATCTTGAATTTGAACCCAGCCACCCTGAATTACTTGCAGTTCTTCAAATACTCTATGTTCTCTCTCATTTTCAAAGTCTTTGTTCAAGTTGCTTCTTTTGTATAGGATTTCTTAACTCCTTCTCCATCAGTCTAATTCCTATGAACCCTTAGGACTTAGCTTAGACCTATTTACTCCAGGAAGCATCCCTCACTCCCACAGTTGGGTGAGGTGGTCCTGGAGTGTGCTTCGATGGCCACTCCTGCATACCTCTGTCCTGCGTGGGTGACATAATCCTATAACCTCTAAGCCTCTGTCCTTGCACTAGTCCTTCCCTCTGGACTGTGAACCCACCGAGGGGAGGGATCCACAGAGCCTGGAATAGTCTAGCACATAACATAGTATGTGCTTAATAAATGCTTATTGACGGAAGAGCAACACCAATAAGCAGCTACAAAAGTAGAATCAGTGATGTCAACATGAAGCTAGACTAAGAGAGCGGTTCTCAACCTGTGGGTCGCGACCCCTTTGGGGGTCAAACGACCCTTTCACAGGGGTCACCTAAGACCATCGGAAAACACATATATAATTACATATTGTTTTTGTGATTCATCACTATGCTTTAATTATGTTCAATTTGTAGCAATGAAAATATATCCTGCATATCAGATATTTACATTACGATTCATAACAGTAGCAAAATTATAGTTATGAAGTAGCAACGAAAATAATTTTATGGTTGGGGGTCACCACAACATGAGGAACTATATTAAAGGGTCGCGGCATTAGGAAGGTTGAGAACCACTGGACTAAGATCTGGAAGCCAGGTTTTATCACTAATCTTTTTGACTAAGCAGAAAAGCTGCTGGGGTTAAAGAATAGTTGATTCCATATGTATATGATATTCCCACAGTTGAGTGGCTGCATAGAGACATATAAATCTTTTTTTTTTTTATCACTCAATGGGTTTCTTTCTTGAGACATACAATTTTAATAGCCCACATACAACTTCCTTTTGTTTACCCATATTTGAAGGCACATACAACTAGACTGGCAAATTGTGAATCCAAGGGTGTGCTGGCTAGTGAACACACAAAGAACTTCCTCTCCCTTTGAGTTATAAAAGGCTAAAGAAGAGAAGATGTCTGTGCTTAAACACTGAGGCGCTATCCTGTGGAAGAGATTGGGCTTTTCTGTATGACTCTTCCTTACTGACCCACCCGCCTGTCCCCTCCCCCTGGGCAAGGGTAAAACCAGGACCCGTGGATGGAGGTTGTGGAGAGGTAAAACTCACCTTGCTATCAGGAAGAATGTTCTAGTGGCAGAGCTATCTGAAGACGGAATAGGCCGCTTTGTCAGGTAGTGAGTTGTCGGAGGCTGAATGAGCTGTCGGTGGGGCTGCTGGAGAGGGAGTTCACACATCTGAGGGATGGGGGAGGTATTGCTCTAGTTGGCCTCTACTGTGTATCTTCTCCCTTGAAACTCTGTCTTCTAACAAAGTAAAATATGTCGCTGCTCCCATTCTTTTCATTTAGAGAGCAAGCTAAAAGTGAACTCCAGCAGTCAAGCCCAAGAGCTTGCCATCAACTCCAACGCCGCCGTGGAATGTGGCATCTTATCCAAGACGACTGGGCACCTGCAGTTGGCCGTTATTTGGTACTTCTCTCCCATTTCCTCTAACGCATCCTGGCTGAGGATCCTGGAAACGGACCAAACCAATGTTGTAAAATATGGGGATGAATTTCATACCCCTCGGCGAAAACAAAAATTCCACACCGAGAAAGTTTCCCAAGACATGTTTCAGCTACACATTCTGAATGTGGAAGACAGCGATCAGGGCAAATACCGCTGCGCGGTGCAGGAGTGGCTCTTGTCTGCAAATGGCACTGGGTACAAGCTTGGAGAAGAGACATCGGGTGTGACAGAACTGAAACTCAGGCCCACAGGTAAACTTGTGAGTGTGCTCGCACGTCTTTCTGTAGGGTTGCCATCTTCTCTCAGGCAGCTGTTCTTCGGCCTGATCACATGAAGGTAAAAATAGGACCTAGAGTCCTAGGAATAATGTCCTACACAATGACGGTAGGACCCAGAAACCCACCAGAGGGGGGCGGTGGGTCACCTAAGGTGAATCAATCTGAAGGTTCATAGACTTGGAGGGGAATAAGAGTCCTTTGATTGGTTTACCGAACAGCCTGGCAGCCTGGTCCAGGCAGCTACCCAGGGTATCATATCTTCAGATCTCTACTAGTATAATAACAAGCTGTGTCATTCCGGTGGGGCTCTATTGTAATTTGGCAGAGAAAGAGTAATACGAAGCATATTTCTCCCACTATGAACAGAAACTGTACAACTCTACAGGGATGTGTGCAGAAATTGCTTTTCAACATTTGGCTGCCTAAACAGAAGGCGAGGAAGAGTAGTTAACCGTTGGAATGGCTTACTGAGGGGATCGCCTCTGCCTCAGGAGATCTTTAAAAATGTAATAGGAGTTCCACCCATTGCATTGGCCTGAGAGAGCTGCGGTCCCGTGTGGGCAGGCTTGAGTAGACCTCTCAGCCTTCCGTGGGTCACCTCCAGTGTTGATGAACATTAAATGAATGTCACGGCTAAGGGTTGGGAAACTGGACGAGATCCAACAGCACGATGCAGATAAGTTCATCTACTTTGGCACTTAAGATTCTATTTTTGATGTAACATCAACAGCAAGATTGTACTGAGCCTTGCTGTGTGTTAGGCGGTTAGGAATACACAGATATAAGGCACAGCTCCTCGCCCGAAGGAGCTCACAGTCTACTAGGGCCGTAGGGAGCCCCTCTGGCTCCTCTTCTCACTGTTCTTCAGACCCTTCTTCCTCTCCCTGCTAAGCGTGGGTGTTCCTCAGGGCTGGATCCTGGGCCCATTTTTCTCCTCTTCCCTGCTCTCTTCAGAGCTTCATAAACACTGCCTTGATTCCAGCTGCCGCCTTCAATGAACTGGCTCTAGGTCTCTATTCTTAGCCTGGTCTCCTGAGCTCCGGGGCTTTTAACCAGTGGCCCCGCTGGGCATTGCTACTTGGATGCCTCGGAGTCCCTCACACTCAGTATGTCCTATATTGCGTTTAGCCTCTCTGCCGTCCCACCAGCTCGTGCACACTCGGCATTCTCCATCTGCGGGGCTGGCATCCCTTCTTCCCCGTTGTCTAAGCCAAATCTTATTTTTTTTTAAATATACTTTTATTGATTTCAGAGAGGAAGGGAGAGGGAGAGAGATAGAAACATCAATGATGGGAGAGAATCATTGATCGGCCACCTCCTGGACGCCCCCTACTGGGGATCGAGCCTGCAACCTGGGCATGTGCCCTTGACTGGAATCGAACCCAGGACCCTTCAGTCGCAGGCCGAACCAGCTAGGGCTAAGCCAAATCTTGACAATGTGTGCATGTCCCTTTAAGGAGGCAGCCACTGCTGAGCTCAAGCCAAAGCTTCCCACTCAAGTATGTGGGCTCAGTGTGGTCCAGTCGTTTAGTATAGCAAGACAGGCCTACAGTTTTTTTGTGTGTGTGACATGGCTCATTTTGAGGCAAATTCAGATCCTTTTAAAATCCGGAGAGTGTCAAACAAAACATATTTGGGTGTGACTGCTGCAGTGGCCAGCTGAGCACCCTGGTGTCAGGAGTGGGTTAAGGAAGAGGCCCAGGGTAAGATCCTGAGAAGGGACATTTGTAAGAGGGACATATTCTCTGAAATCAGAAGAGGAGAGGAGTTCAAGAAGAAAATGAACTTTGGTGACAAAAACCACAGAGGGCACCGGAGCAGGAAATCAGGCCCTTAGTGGGGACCTGGCCGGAGGATGGTAGTGGCATTGGAGGGCTGGCTGCAATAACGTAGGGAGTACTTTGAAGGGAGGAAGCAGGTAAATACTAGCTTATCACATAAGCTAGTATTTCCCATGCTTTGCCATCAAGAGAAGGAAAGAGTAAAGAGTGGGAACTGAAAAAGAATCCAGGATCAGGCAGAGTTGTTCTTTTTTGTTTTCTCTTTATTGTTGAAAGTATTACAGGTGACCCCCTTCCCCCCACTGTCCCCTTCTAGCCTGCACCTGTCCCCCCCACCCCAGGCCCTCACCACACAAAGCTGTTCTTTTAAAGAGAGATTAATACATTTGTTTATAGTAGAGTTTAACATTTAGTACATACTATGCTTTCTTTTCTGTTTGTTTGCTTGTAACTACTCTAGCCTTCATTACAACTCCTTACCTGATGAGAGAGAAAAAAATTTTTTAAGTAAGTGTCAAAATCTGTTTAAAACTTAGTCTAATCCAATAAGGTAAATGGTCTCCTTGAGTAGTGTTCTAACGCTTGTACAAAAATGGTCAGTCTCTCAGACAGCCTCCGCCTTCCCTGTGTCTCCACCCGAGATCCCCGGGTGTGTGGGAGGAGGGCGATTTGCTAAGAAGGAAGGGCAAGGTGGAATAGCTCACTTGAGGGATGGGGGGGGGTGGAGTGGAAGTTTTGACTGGTCCCCTGAGAAGCAGAAGAGACAGAAGAGACAGGTGACAGGGGGAAGTAAACGCAGCAGGCAGAGCACCCACCGAAGCTGGGTGGCTTTCAGCGGCAGGTCAGGCAGACAAGAGGTATGGCTAAAGGATGGAAGTGGCTGGTTTGATTCATAGCAGAGAATGTTCTCGCAAACATGGAAGAAGGACAGAGGTCAAAGAAAAGTGTTGAAGAGGAAGGACCTGATGTCTAAAGAGTATCAGCTGGACCTCCTCTGGGAAAGTGAGGTGCTTCAGAGGTGCCTGGTCTACAAGTCCGGGTTCTTCTCTAACTTACCGCCATTTTATTTCCTAGGAACTAAGGTCCATGTCTCCAAGGTGCACTGGACAGAAAATGCCACGGAGCACGGAGAGGCGGCCATGCACTGCGGCCTGGAGAGCGCGGGCGGCTCGGCCTCCCTGTTCTCTGTGACGTGGTACTGGGCCGGAGAACATTCTGGAAGTAAGAAGCTGGTGCACCTGCAGCATGACGGCTTGCTGGAATATGGTGAAGAGCGGCTCAGGAGGCGCCTGCACTCTTACCGTTCGTCCCCTGCAGACTTCGTCCTGAAGCTTCGTCGGGTGGAGATGGAGGATGCTGGGGAGTACTGGTGCCAGGTGGTGGAGTGGCAGCTCCATGGCACCCCAAGCAAGTGGGTCAGCCAGGCGTCGGATGAGTCGCAGCATATGGTGCTCACGGTGCTGCCCTCAGGTAACGAGGGGTCACCCCGGCTTGTTTCATGGGCAGGAGGCCCTCTGTCTCCCCTCTTCTCCTTTCCCTCTCAGCTATGGTTGGCTCCTTCTTCAGGCTGAAAACAGTTCCAGACTCCCTAACACAGCGACTTTGTCTTTTCTCTCGGAAGTAACTTATTTGGACAGACAAGGTCTACTTGAGGTTTTAGCATAGACATTGAGATGTCAGGGGACTCTGCGCTTGCTTCCCGTCCCAAACAAAAAAGCCTTCAGCATTACATCCCTAAATAACCGAAGCGTGTATGCAGCAGACATCCTTACCTCCTGGCTGATCTTGAATGTCAGGATGCTGATGTGCAGTGGGGGTGGGGAGGAAGGAGAGGGACCTGGTGACTTTACCTCTGATCTGGTTGAACCAATATCAGCTACATCTCTGCTCCCTGAGTCAAAATCAAAACAAAACAAGGAGGAAAAACCTTTCTCAGTGACCAAGAGCCAAGCTGCTTATCTCTCTGTGTGCTCAGCCAACTACCAGGACTTTGATGGGGACAGTCACGTGATGTGCCTCTCCTATTTGCACCTTGGAAGGCCTCAGAGGAGAAAGTGCACCTGATAGACTTGTTTTCAGGCTCCAACAGGGAGGCAAGCTCCTTGAAGACCAGTGGCCAAAGGGTGGCCCCTCTCTGTGTGGGAAGGTCGTCCTATCCAGCTGAGCCCACAGATTCAGGAGGGAGGTGGAACAAGAGACGCTGGGGGAGAAGACGGCACCCTTCCAGCCAGTGCCGTGCCAAGCATATCATAGCCATTTATTAAGCAGTTGTTAATGAAAGCAAAAATGTCTCCAGCCAGACCAGTAAATCTTCCCTGGCGATCAATGAGCTGGCAGAGGCTGTAGCCAGCTCGTTCTCTGAGCCACTTCTGCCCGGTGGGGTTTAAGGAGAAGGTGAGAGGTGAGCGATGAGCTAAACAAACTATGGAAAAGGGTCATCAGAGAGGCAGCAATGTGGTCTTGGTTCCCTACCCCAGGAAGGGTACAAAGGATGGATAGAGATAACATTCCTAGGATACCCGCTAGCTTTGGTGACACTCCTCAGGAGGGAGAGTGCTGCCGGGAACAAATGGAAGTTTCTCAGGAGTAGGGATAGGTGGCCGCCTCCCAGCTACCCCAGCAGGGCTTCTAGCGTGGAAGTCAAAGCTATCTGATTTGCTCCCTGGGGTTCCATCATCCTCTCCCCTGCCCATTTGTCAGTGAATTTTCCTCCCGAGCCTCCAAGCAGAATTTTTCTTCCTATCAGCTTTTCTTCCATTCCAACAATTATGGAAGTCCCACACCCCTGAGCGCATTCCCTATATGTTTTCCCATAGAAATTTCTAAGCTCTGCTGAATCAGCACTTTTTGCAGTAGAATAGATAGTAACTGTAAAAAGTGTATACTTTAGTACATAACTACAAATCGCATCTCTTTGTGGCCTCTTTATAAAACAAGTGTGAGGTTTTAAACAGATGGTTCCTGGAAAGGAAATGTAAAACATGGAGTGGTCTTAGTATCCTTCACAATTGAAGACGGCAGGAGATGAGGCTAGTGAGATGGGGAGGTATAGATCTCAAACGTGTCTGAAGTATGAAGCTAAAGAAAGTGAACTTTATCAGAGAAGTTATGGAGTGCCATTGAACAAGTTCAAGCAGGGGAGTGACATCATCAGCTGTCTGGGACCAGGTAACAAAACTGGAGCGCGTGGTGCCAGCGAAGGCAGAGATGTTAAGAGGCATTTCCCTGGGGAACCAACCTTGCATTTTCTTCTCCAACTTACCTCCTTAGCTGTGACTAAGCAAAGGCAGAGGCTCCAGTCTTTTTATTTTTATTTTATTTTTTTTAAATATATTTTATTGATTTTTTTACAGAGAGGAAGGGAGAGAGATAGAGAGTTAGAAACATCAATGAGAGAGAAACATCGACCAGCTGCCTCCTGCACATCTCCCACTGGGGATGTGCCCGCAACCCAGGTACAGGCCCTTGACCGGAATTGAACCTGGGACCCCTCAGTCCGCAGGCCGACGCTCTATCCACTGAGCCAAACCGGTTTCGGCGAGGCTCCAGTCTTTTAACCTCACCCTCCGACCCCAGACATAGATGTGTTATTCTAGAAACTTCTCTGTGATTAATTAATGGACAAGCTATAGGGCTCCCCAGGAACTGGGTTATTTGTAGTAGTATTTGTTACTATTTCCAAGCTTTTATTTGGACAAAGATAAAAAGTGGGTCCTCACTGGAGATAGGTGCGCCTACCACCCTGAAGTTTCTGGAGAGACCGTGCTATTTATCCATGCTACCCCAGTGCCCCCAACAAGGCCTGACACACAGCGCTCACCACGTGTTTGATGAAAGAATGAGCAAACCAGTCTTGTGTTGGCTGCTGTCAGGCGTTCACTTTTTGGGAGAATGCACTTGTGTCAGGTTACCTAACCCTACTTTTTTTTTTTTAAATATATTTTATTGATTTTTTACAGAGAGAAAGGGACAGGGATAGAGAGTTAGAAACATCAATGAGAGCTACCCCAGTGCCCCCAACAAGGCCTGACACACAGCGCTCACCACGTGTTTGATGAAAGAATGAGCAAACCCAGTCTTGTGTTGGCTGCTGTCAGGCGTTCACTTTTTGGGGGATGCACTGGTGTCAGGTTACCTAACTCTACTTTTATTTCTTGGCAGGAGCCGACTCTCCCACACGGCCACACATGGCCGCCAGTTGCCCGAGTTTCCGTTAGGGTGGGGGAAGAGTTGGTAGCCCCCTGACTGTCCCCTACCTTTCCTCCTCCTAATGTTCCTGGTGACGTGTTTGGCTGCGGGTAGAAGCATGTTATAAATTAAACCTCATGATGAAATATTCTCATTACATTTTTGGCTCGGTCTTGCCTGCCTTGTACTTTGAGCTTTGGGTACTCACTTGGATTAATTCAAAATGCCAAACCTTAATGGTTTTGAATGTCACTAATTCTAACCCAGATAGGCGTGAGGCAGATGGTGGGAAATGGTGATTGCGGGATCCAGAGCAAACACTGTCCTCCCAGGAGAGGTCCTTTGGAAGCAGTGGAGCTGGTGGTTGCTAGCTGGTGGCCAATCGGTGCTGTGAAGAACCCACTTTGCCACCCTTTGATGGCAGACTGCTCTAAGCGGAGCAGCCTCCTCCCCATTAAGATAGTCAAGCCCCCTGGCAGTGCCTTCACACTGAAGGTTAGCATCTCAGCGGCAGAAAAAGGGGTCACGACCCACAGGTTGAGAACCGCTGTTCTATGTGCTGGCTCCATCTCCCCACCGTCATACCATCATCCTAGTAACAGGGATACGTGGGTACTGTGGACTCCCGCCTCCCAATTCTCTACCTCCCATGACTAGAAAAGGAAGCCAGTCTCCTAAGTAATCATGTGGCTCTCAGTGAATGTCACCCTGGGGGCTGAGGGCTCAGGGATTTAAGGAAGAGACGTGGCCTGTGGAAGAACAGGCCCAAGCCTGTGGCCCCGGAGAGGAGTCAGCAGGCTCAGCCTGTTTTCTCTCTGATCTCTCCGAGAAAGTTGCCTGTGATTTTCCTGACTTTCTCAGTAGCATCCTAGCTGATATTTATTCCTTGCTGACTCAACAAATGCACTAGGCACTATGTGAAATGCTTTATTATGCATTATCTCATTGCGACTCTAGAAATCATTATCCTCATTTGATTGATGAGGGAACTAATGATTAGAGTGGATAAATAACTTGTCCAATGCCAGTCATGATAAGTGGAAGAGCCAGGATTTGAAGCCAGCTCTCCACGATACTATGGTAGGTGCTCCATCACCACTCTGCACAGGAGTAGTATGAAGTACCAAGGCCCTTAGCCTTTGGTCTCTTCAGCATCTCTCTCTGTGCCTCCTCCTCCTCTTTTTTTAAAAATTTTTTTAAATTTTAGGGAGATAGAGAAAGAGATTTGTTTTTACACTTACTTATGCATTCCTTGGATGATTCTTGTATGTGCCCTGACCAGGGATCAAACCCACAACCTAGGCATATCGGTTCCATGCTCTAAGCAAGAACCACTTGGGCAGGGCTATCTGTCCTTCTTAACCAAATGCCCTCAAATCTATTCAGATAAGATGTGTGAGAATTGCTGTAATCAAGCAGGGCCTCAAAGAGGGGTTAGATAGGATGTGGAGGGGGGGTGATGAAGGATTCAAATCTAGCTTTTCAGCCAAAACCAAAACCAGATTTAAGGTGGAGAATTAAACGAGACCAGAGAAAATGCAGACAGTGAAGCCCTGCAGCGCCTTGTCAGCCCTGTTCAGCGATGACCTTCACTCTGTGTAAGAAGAGGGCAGGCCCGTCCCTGGGTCCCTGTGTGTGAAATATAAATCTTTGTTTTACTATGGTTGCAAATATCAAAAAATTTCTATATGTGACACGGCACCAGAGTTAAGTTAGGGTTTTTCAAAATGCTGACACGCCAAGCTCAAAAGGTTCGCCATCACTGGTCTAGATTCTTGACTTCCAACAAAGACACGTTCTTCAAGGAGCAAAATGCATCAGTAATACCAAAAATGGAATCCTTGTAGTATATGGTTATCAAAATGACCTCGGAATTTGTTGTTTTCATCTCACCGAGTTTACATCCCAAGAATCCTATAGCTTAACCTCTAAGAAAAGAAGTTGCTTATGTTATTACAAATTTCCCTTGAAAGCACAGCTCCTGTTAGCACCAGATTTTCAGAACAGCCCTGGTTTTGAATATCCTGTCATCAGTAAACGTAGCTGAAGGCTACATTTGGCAGTTGCTGTCTCATGAAACATGTGTCTCTCTCTGCATCAGAGACTGTAAGCCTGGTCCTTACCCAGTAACTCAAGTTCCTGTGTCCTGGAGCCTGTGGGGGGTGCGGTCTTCCCGTCTGCTTCCCTGGCTGTGTGGCCGGGGCCCGCTGTGGGGCTGCATGTATGTGCTCCATGTGTCTGGTGCTGCCAGCGCTTCCCCGCGGACTGCAGCTGCGGATGGGGTGTCTTCAGCAAGCCTTTCTATATAGTATCCTCTGCCCCCGGCAGCCCAATCTAGTTCAGATCAGCAGACATTACAAGCACATGTGCTAAGCACTGTAGGGCCCGTAGAAACAGATGGCACCATCAGACATACCTGTGATGGAACAAAAGAGATGGTTAGAAGGGGATTGAAAGAGATCTGAACGGGTAGGTCTGAGTGGAAGCGGATAGAAGAGAACTGTCGCTGAGATGACAGGACCCCCTGGGGGAGGAAGAGGGGCCAGAGGGTCCGGGTGCAGAGCGCATGCCAGGGGGAGGCGGCAGTAAGAACAGCACAGGACAGGAGCTGAATGGAGGGGGCCTGGGGAGTGAGACCAATTTGGAGGTGCTATTTTATGAGGCCCCTGCATGTGAGAGAGAGAGGGGAGGGGAGGGATTAGGAAGCAGCAACAGTGGGAATAACTCAGTGAAAACATCGGGACCGGCAGCAGAGTTGAGAGCGAGGGTTGAATTATAGATATCTTTTCTGAGGAAAGAAGATTAAAGGAGAGGTTTTTCTTTTTTGTTTTGCGTTTCCTCCTGGCTGCTAGTTTTAAGTAGGTCGTTGGAGCCTGCGGTGGTTGGAAATTGCTGGGCGAGGGGGTCGGTTGGAAGAGCACCCTCGGAGTTCTGGGCTCCCACCCTCCCCCCTTGCTCCTCATATGTGACTCCAGGGGCCGGCTGCTCTCTGGGTGTCATGTTCACGTGTGTTTGCCTGTAACCGTGACTCCCAGAAGTGTATAAGATTGGTTAGTGCAAGTAAGTGGGAGACTAATGATCCTCTCTGTTTCTCTCTTTTTGTCGTAGAGCCCTCGTTTCCTTCCAGGATCTGCTCGTCGGCACCTTTGATCTATTTTTTATTCGTCTGCCCCTTCCTTGTGTTCCTTCTGCTCATCTCCACCCTCTGCCTCTACTGGAAGGCCAGGAAGTTGTCGGCACTGAGGCTAACCTCCCAGAGAGAAAAGGCCCTCTGGGTGGGCTTGAAGGGGGCTGGCGATGGGCCCGCCACCACGAAGGAGGAGGAAGAGGAAGACAGTTGAATTCCAAGAGGCGCGCAGCCTTGTGGAGAGTGTGGACTTTGCGGTGGGACTGATCAGACCAGGGTGTGGCTGAGTCCTGGTTCTGCCCTTCTCGGTATCTGTGGCCTTGGGTAAGTTACCCAGGAATCTGAGGAAACAGGTTATCGAGCGTGTGTGTGGTGCCAGGCACTGTTACATGTTTCTTTATGTGTGACCTCATCTACCCCTTGCATCCCCCCAACAATGAGGAGCTAGATGGCCTCAGTACCCCGTTTTCATTCACCATGCCTCCCAGAGATTCAGGTTTAATATCTGTGAGCAGAGGAGGCCTGCCCTCACACAGCCTCTGGGAGATGAAGTGAGATCCTACAGCCGTGCCCAAGGGGAGCTGCCCTCAGCTCTCCTCGCTCTTCCATCACTGGTTCCCTGGAGACACCAGGAGCGACCTGTCCCACTGGCTCCAGGTAATCCTTAGCCTCCAGGGGAGAGGAGTAGGGAAGGGATGCCAGCGAGCCAGGTAATCCTTAGCCTCCAGGGGAGAAGAGTAGGGAAGGGATGCCAGCGAGGCAAAAGGAATTAGGGATATGCCCTTCGTTCCCAGTAAATCTGCCTCCAAAAAGAACGTGACTTCCTTCGAGGCAGAAATCTCATCTGTAAATGCCACTCAAGAGCTCTGCATAGCAGGTGCGTCATCAATATTGGTTCTTTGATGAAATGATAAAGCATTTTGTAGCCTGAGTTTCTTTGTTTTATTTGTTTTTTCCATGTTCTCTGTAAGACTTATTGAGTCATTGCTAAGGAAAAGCTTTTTTCTTTTTTTAATTTTGCGACAGTGCCTCAGTCAGTCCCCAAGGCCTCATATCATAGCTTCCCTTTCTCCCCACCCTAAAGTCCTCTCTGGCTCCTGGCTCCTAGCCAGTGCCTAATTTTCTTTAACGCGACAGCACTCTGGGGCTGTGGTAGTTATTTGGGGGAGGAGGGGTCCATACTGTCACCATCCCCTTCCACTCCAGCGGGGTCTAGAAGTTCAAGGGGGACAGCCAGTCAAGTCTGTTTCCTCAGGATCCCCTATTCTCAGCCAGGGGTGGGGGGAGGGGGGAGAGGAGAAGGGGTGTTCATGGTTTAAGACTTTCAACAACTGTGCCCCAGGAGATGACAGCTGTCCCCACTGGGCCTGAGGTCCCTTCCCTTTGTTTCAGAAGCTGCTCCGGCCAGAACTGAAAATCAATCAGTGTCACCTAACAGACTTGAGAAAACATCTACTTATTATCTAAGTGGCCGACAGCATTGCTGTAACACTCGGTAATTTGCATTTCCAAGGAGAGCAATTTATTTTTAATTATTTTATCAGGCACAGACGTCCTCTCCAAACATAATTAGTTCCTTTGCTGGGGGATTATCAGTGGCTATGAGAACTCCCACTGTAGACCTACTGGTTCCTTAACTTCACCTCCCTTTATGGCCTCATTTGAAATACTCCAAATGTTTCCTTAGACACGTCAGCACACCGTTCCTTTCTCTCAGGAAAGGGAGCATAGCTTTCAGAGAACAAAGCTCAAGTTAAGACTTCTTAGAAAGTCCCAATTTTTCCAGAAACCTCTATTTTCATTGGGATATTGAAGGGAAAGAGAGAAGAACTGGGCCCAGGCAGAGAATCGGTGGATTCTGGTGCTCCCCCTCCCTCCACTGCCTCTCTCTCCACCTGGATACCGCCTTTCAGCTCTCAGCTCAAGTGCCACTGTTTCATGTTTGACTACAGCACAGAGGCTGCCAGAGGTGACACTGGACTATCTAACTGCCCCCACCCACCCACCCAGCGGAGTCGGGGGTGATCATTTCCCAGTGAGCGTCCTGTGTCCGGCCTGGGATGGGTGTGAGGGATCCAGTGGGGACCAAGCCCCACTCCCCTTGCTGATCACCTTGTCTGTTCTGGACGCTCTGCTCTCAGCGGTGGGATGTGGAACATGTCGGATTTTCTAAGAAGCCACATTGCACTCTCTGGCTCATGGTGAGGTTTCAGGCAACGAAAACCCCCCAGTCTTCTTGTTTTCCTTTTTGAACTTCTAGAATAAAATTTGTTCTCACCCATTTCCATAGGCGTTTTACACGAAATCTCTACTCACCCCGGTTGTGTACTTGTTCATCTTAGTTCTTAAAACTTAACGGAGAACTTCACCTTTCCTCGTGGATTTAAACTTTTCCATTCTGGGTCACCACCTGGTTTTACTTTACTTGCTTGTGTTATAAATTCTCCCTGGCAACAGGACAAACCTCTGCCTCGGGACTTGGCTACCTACGCCCCACAGGCAAAATACAGCCCACCCCTGTTTCTTAAAATACAATTTGTTGGAATACAGCCCCTGCCTTCCGTTTGCCCACATAATACTCTGTGGCCACTGTCATGACAAAATGGCGGAGTCAAGCAGTTGCCAGGGAGACTGTAGGGCCTTCGCAAAGCCTGAGATGTTTGCTGTCTGGCTCTTTAGGGAAAATGTTTGACAACCCTGCTCTCTTTAAGTGGCTAGTGTTCTATCTGTCTTCACCATGTGTTATGTTCCTGGGAAACTTGATTTGACTTATTATTTCTGCACCGGTTATAGATCTGATTAATAAAGAATTTAAGGCTTCCATATTGGTGTCTAGCCCGGCAGTTCTGCAGCTGGGATCCTCTCCACCACACTCCTACTAGCGATGGAAACTCCACACCATCCTGTTGAGTACTTACTCTGTCCAGGACGAGATGACACAGAGATGACTAAGGCAGGAATAGGCTCCATTCATTATCTTCAGTCTACTGAGGCATCTATAGGAACAACGGATTTATGGCAGCAGATGAACGCAATGGTAGATTGAAGTCATGTGCCATCATAATCTCTTACAATGGGACAGGTGTTCATCATCTCAGAGTTTCATGGCCGCCCTGTGTGAAAGGGAATCTTCTTCCCATCCTATAGGCAAGAAACTGAAATTCAGAGAGGTGGGGATTTATGTAGCATCACCCAGCCATCTGCAGAAGAGTAAGAGCTCAAACTGACGTTGGCTGACTAGTCCTGGGCTCTTTCTGTAATAAGCGTGACAGGTGCTTGTTTTGTCACATGCTCTCAAAGTGCTGGTTTGTTCCAAGAAGGGGGAAAGGATTCAGACTATAAGAGCAGGGGACCGCTTTGCACTCTGCCCTGATCCCCAGATTTCCATTCAACCCAATGCATGTTGATTCAATAGCTCCTCTGTGTTGCCTTATGATGGTGTTCAAATAGACACACAAGAGCATGTTTTTGTTACAGTCTCCCATGACTGAAGGCGGATGCTACAAGTTCTAAAGTCTGTCTTTAGGGAATCTTTGTGTTGCTTAATGGTCTGTCTCCAGCAGCTCTTTGTACCACCCTGCTGGCAGCCGGAAATGGTTTGAGGATCTTCTGTTCTCCATAGCCAAGGCATGACCAGCCCCATTAGAGGGCGCTGATGCAAAATGGTCTTTATTCCCTAAGTGTGGGCCAAGTACCTTCTAGCCATAAAAGTGACAAGTTGGGGTGCTGTGTGCAAAAAGGCACCACTATGGAAGGAAAACATTGAGCAGTGTTTAGGAGTCTGAAGTGGCTGGAGTTAGCGTCACTATTGAGTAAGGGTTACTGGCTCTGTCCAACATCAGCTCCCAACACACACATACGCCTAAATTCCTCACCTGAAACATTTTCCCTGATGGAGAGAGAGGTATTCAGTGTAGTATTAAGTATGGGTCATTCAAATGCAGTAAACTGGGAGACTTCCGCTTGGCAACTATGATATTTAGTAATCTTTCCACCCAAAAAAACTAGTCAACATTTGAGCCCTCCTAAGAAGTAAGCTGCAGTGAGATATAATTGAGGCTGCAACTGCTTCCTCTTAGGACAGTGATGGCGAACCTATGACACGCGTGTCAGAGGTGACACGCGAACTCATTTTTTTGGTTGATTTTTCTTTGTTAAATGGCATTGAAATATATAAAATAAATATCGAAATATAAGTCTTTGTTTTACTATGGTTGCAAATATCAAAAAATTTCTATATGTGACACGGCACCAGAGTTAAGTTAGGGTTTTTCAAAATGCTGACACGCTGAGCTCAAAAGGTTCGCCATCACTGTCTTAGGATCTTCCACTTTGACTTTTTGCTCCTTTTATTTTATTTTATTTTTATTTTTTTAAATATATTTTTTATTGATTTTTTAAAGAGAGGAAGGGAGAGAGATAGTTAGAAACATTGATGAGAGAGAAACATCGATCAGCTGCCTCCTGCACACTTCCTACTGGAGATGTGCCCTTGACCGGAATCGAACCCGGGACCTTTCAGTCTGCAGGCCGATGCTCTATCCACTGAGCCAAACCGGTTACGGCTTTGCTCCTTTTAAATGATGTGCCCAATGAGTGCTTCGATAACTCAATAGTCAGGAATGTGAACTCTGGACTTAGACTCCAAGGTTCAAATCCTGATATCACTCACCGGTTGTGTAGTCTTTAGCAGTTAATTTCTCTTGGCCTCGATTCCCTCCTCCATAAAATGAGAATAATACCCATTACTTCGTAGGATTTGTTATAAGGATTATATGAGATATTCATGTGAAGGAGAAGTCATAAATGTTAGAGATCATCATCATTATTGACATCAATGACAAGCTGGCCATTTGAATCCTCTCTACTCCTGAAAAGGAAACCAGACAGCCTTACTTTACTACCTAACTCTTAACACAATAGTGGAGAGAACAGGGCAAGAGAATGAAATGCAAGCATGGGTTTTGCCACAAAATGGGATCCTTGCTTGGGTCCTCAGCCCAAAAGGCTAATTTAGAGAAAGAGAAGTGTAAAGTTTCAGAAAGAGTCAGGCTATCAAGGCGGTGTGGACAGAGGAATATTTGGATAAAATTGTCTGAGCGCTTTACAGTTAAATGAGGAGTCAAGATAGTTTAATCCAGGAGTTCCAAGTGAATATATGGGAATTAATGGGAAATGAAGTCACTAGAGACTCCTATCCTGAGGTTCTTTATACCTGTATTAATTAGCTAATTCAATTTACATGTAGATTTGGGTGCAAATAATTAGCTTGGGAATTTGCATTCGTCTGCTCAGACTGCTGTGACAAAATGCCATAGACTGGGTGGCTTAAACAGCAGGAACTTATTTTCTCACGGTTCTGGAGGCTGGGAAGTCCCAGATCAAGATGCCAACTGACTGACGAGGGCCCTCCTCCCAACTTATACACTGCCAACTCCTCAATGCGTCCTCACATGACAGAGAGAGAGACCCCCGTGACCTCATCTAAACCTAATTATCTCCCAAAGGCCCCATCTCCAAATACTACCACATTGGCCAGCAAAGCTTCAACATATGAATTTGGAGGAACAAAATTAAGTCAGTCCATGGCACTTGGGGAGGGCACACAAGTTAAAAGAAAAACCATTCGAATGAGCAGAATTCCCCCCCCCCCCCGCCCCGCTCTCCTCCTACTTAGCCATGCTTCAGCTCTTCCATAAGAAATGGGTGACTACTAAAGTGGCAGGAATGGTGTCATCATGAGAAAAGTTGAAGAAGGAGGAAAAGGGATCGCTTAAACACATGCGGAGTTCTGGGTGGGAACACAACGAAGCTGGGCCATGCGTCCTCCACAACCACCACAAAATGCTGTTTTTGTCTCCTCTGGACCAAAGAAGTATTGAGGGTTGGAGGGAGGTGTTATGGGGGAAGCAGGTGAAAAAGAGGAATTGG